TTTCACCTTGTCATGAATGTGGGACAAAGAAAAAAATTGGGAGTTCCCATGAGGAATCGAACCTCAAACCTTCGAATTCCGCGCTCAGATGCTCTACCACTGGGCCACAGAGACTCTATGGTGAGCGAGGCCCAAATTTACGAAGTTCATGTATAACACGCGTCCTGCATACTTCTAGGATCAGCGATGTCTGTAATGTCATGTTTGTGTATAGAGTAAGAGGGATGGTACGTTTGAACTCGGTAAAGAAATAGAGAAAGGTATTTTTTGTCTTTTCACGAGCATGGGACAAAGAAAAAAAACATTACTGATCCGAGCAGTATGCAGGACGCATGCACTTCATAATGGGCCTTGCTCACCATAGGGTCTCTGAAGCTCAGCGGTAGAGCATCAGAGCGTAGAATCCGGAGGTCTGAGGTTCAATTCCTCATGGGGACTCAGAATTTTTTCTTTCTCCCACACTCGTGACAAGACGGGAAACATGTTTCTCTATTTCTTTACTGAACTCAAAACTTACCATTTTTCTTAATCTATTAACATCATACATTATCAAACATTATGGTCGCGAGAATAAAGGAAATGATCACCTACTAAAGAAGTTCTGTATTGTTCACCAAATTCTCCTTGTCAGCACCTATTCATATAAGAGTGTAAAGGGTCGAAGGATGATTCGACTCACCTTCCCACAACGTAAATTTTACACCCCTCAGAGGAAAATTACAAGCCATGTTCATATTGAGACCATTAGCAGGACCACCATTGTCTGTCGAGAAGACGATTATTGAGTTGTCGTACAAACCACTCCCTTTGAGTGCATCAACAAGCTGGAATAGAGATTTTTATTTAACTCACTTTTATTTTTATTTAGAGACCTGCAATAAATCACCAACTCTTTTGCCCAAAGCCAGTTTGAATGCAAGTTTCAAAGTAATAAAAGCACCAAAAACATACACTTAATCAAACAAAGAGAAATATGAACATTTAAAACAAATTCAAAAACATGACAATAAAAATAAAACAAGTGTGGTGTGTGTACCTGTCCTACTCTCTGATCAAGGACTGAAACCACTGCTGCAAAGATTCTTCTGTTTTCGTCTTTGATGTGTGAGAACTTCTTGATTTCATCTGGAGGAGCCTGGATTGGCTGAATGTAATTTGCACTGTGGACAGCTTGGTAAGGAAGATACAAAAACAATGGCTTGGAAGGGTCATGCTTTTTAATGATGTCTATGGCTCTCTCCGTAAACATATCAGTACTGTACTGGCCCCATTCCGTCCAGACAGGCTGAAATGTATGCTGAAAAGAGATGTGTAAATAGTACAGTTGCATGTAAATAAACACTTTGAACAGTTTTGATATCAACCCTTTACACCCTTACATCAGAATGCATCTTCTCCTTACTGTTCTCTGTACATCCTTGAGGAGCTGACAAGGAGAACTTGTTTAAAAGTCAAGAGTAAAATTGTGAAGTTGGTGATCATTTTCTTTATTCTCATGACCTTGATGTTTGTTTCAAGAGGAATATTGTAGGGAGAAATTAGATGCTAGTCACTCTTATGGGTCAAAGGGTTAAATATAATAAGGATTAAAATAAATTAGTTCTTGATAAACAGATTTACCTCTGTATCGTTGTGAAGATCTAATCCCCATCCATACATTTCATCATTTGAATGGTCCCAATAATCTTCCTTTGCACTGTAATAACCAAAGAAAGTGTCAAATCCTCTCCTTGTGGGAGTGTAGTCTGTTTTGAAGAAACCAAGATGC